CATTCACTTCCACATCTTTATTAACTAAACCACGCAGATTTCAGTTCAATAAAACGTAACACAACCATGATGGATCACAAAAAAATTTTTGAATTTTCCGGAATGAAAGTAGCTACTGGATGGAAGCAGCAGGGACGGGTGCCAATTCGCACTATTCTCATATGGAATAAAAAATATTCCCAAGAATTCAGACTAACTCTAGAAGTTTTTAGAAGTAATTTGGGTGGGAGCTATACGCTGTTTTAATTTGACTTCATGACGATATTACCACTTTAGCCTTGGGGGTACATGATGATTCGTGAAGGTGCGCGAAACTGTGTTTGGTGACTCCCATAAAAATAATTTTTGGAGCCTGTCCTACCTACTTACAATATCTATTGTTTGATTTTATCTTTCAGCATTATCATTCTGAAGATGCTGTGACCTGCCTCACTGTCGCCTATCTCTGCCTCTACCTGTGCCTTTACCTTTACCTTTACTTTACCTCTACGTACCTCTGAGGCTTTTATGCGAGCAATCACGAACTGTCACTCATTCTTGTCCAAAATTGGACAAGATAAATGGCGAAACGCTCGATTAGGGAGACAAAAAACGAAAATTCTAGATCGGTTGCCCATACAGGTCGTCTGCATCACTCCTCACTCAGGAATTCTCCTGGAAATCAAAAGGCATTACGTATCACGGTGAAGCATGGGATATTATAGGCCCTCGAAATGCAGTAGGCCTTCTCTGACAAATCCATAACAACTCTGAGTATAGTAAATAGAAATGATACGCCCCCTGACTACTCGATGTTGGCTTAAAAACCTGTGGGACCAGTTTTGTTTGAAAAATGAGGGAAATTACTGGAAACCATTTCCTACTTGCAAATTTATCGCTTTGTTTATCGGCTATCTCAAATGCTCACCACCAAATGGGCCGATCAATCGATATTTTATCTAGCGCTTACCACCGAATGCACTCTGGACCTCGTGATAACTAAAGCCTCTACTGTCCTGCTGCAAATGCTAAGTGGTATTACGAATTTATTGCCTTCTGTCCTTTTCCTGAATAGATTGAGCCCTTGAGCGAGGGATAAATGGCTTTCGAGCTTCATGTTAGTCCGATATCGAACCCTGAATACAATCTTGCACAGATCAGTTGATCCCTTCATCACCATGGTGCATAAGATGCCTTCGAGATAGGCCAGTTACTTGAATGGGGTTAATTCTAAAACCTTGAAGTCTATGACGTTAATCAATACCGTTTTGGGTTAATCCATGCAATCGACTTCCATTCAGAATTGTAGTGGCGTAGGGGATGTGTATGTGACTTATACGATGACTAGTCAGTACTGTTATCTTCCCAGACGACTGGTACCAATAGATCGACTCCAGAGGGATGAAAGGATTATTTGGCCTAGGTGTACATCGATCCGGGATACGAACCCGTGACCGCTGCATGAGTGGAAGTGCGCCACTTCCCACTACATCACTTCCGCCCTTCGAAAATGGAGCAAGCCTTTTGAAAGTTTTGCCACCAAGTTTCTCATATGAGAATTATATAAGTTTACTCTAGAACATCAGCAAGGAAGCCAGAAATCGTCTTTTGAATTTTTCCTTTGATAAACGACTGTCTTCTAAATTTTCCTTTCCTTCTGTCATTAAATGATCTGCTATAAGAAGTCACTATGGTCATCTTTTCTCAGCCATGCCATCAATCGTCATTCTCCTAGTAACTTAAACCTCTGGCGCATTCTTTTTCAATTCGAGGGAAAAAAGGGGGACAAAGCCAGCGGGAAACCAGTTTTGACAACGCTAAGCGACGGGTTGACCTTCGCTCTAGGTGGCAACGTTCACTGAGAATTCCAAGCACTCGCCATCATGATCAGTTCGGTCTCACATTGATCGAAGACTCCCTTTTTACGCCCTTTCCTCTTTACACTCACAGCTTCGTCGATATTTCCAATTAATGCACCTCGCTCAATTGCTGTCTTTTCTGTTTAATTTGAGTGAAGGTATTCGATCATTTATTCCCTTTGCTTCTTACAGAACTCCGTTACAAAATTCCCCTTTCTGCATCCCGATTCTACCCTACGACATTACAAATGCTTGAAGTGTCACCTAGCTCTATTTACTTTGTTATTATTGGATAAAAATCAATCGAATACTGGTGATACCATACTAAAAATTCTAATGGTATTTTATTCTTCAGTTGACCTGCGTTCCTGCGAGAGAAACTCAATGAGTAATAGTGCTCAACTACGTGACCCACCCTCAACCACGTCCCTCTCGCTCCTCTGAACCACCTCAGTGAGGTTGTCTTTGGTCTTAAGCGGCTTTGGGCTCCAAATGATATCAGCCTTGTCTAAGGAGATAAGAACTTATAAGCGGTTATCAGTAGCCCTCTCCAAATCACTGTCTAGACACAGCGTACTTTGGGGTGTCTTCACAATTCAAGTGAAAGTTCTACTTACAGCGTATCGGTAGAGACGGTGGTTCGTCAGCTCCAACTGCCGTCATTGCCGAGCATAGGGGTTGAAGAAGGCAGAAGAGAAGCAAAACGAAGGGCCTTCAATATACTCTTATCATTTTTCATCATCAGTGCTAATCAGCGCCGAGGATCCTATTTCTTTCATCTCTACGTTTGTTGATTTAGTAGAAAACTGCGTGGCGTGGCATCGAATATCCGCAAACACACCACCTTTTTGTTAGCCACCCACTGCTAGTCATAGTGGTAGGTGTTGATATCGATGTTTTTTCTGGAAACTGCGTCATCACCTGCTTGTTCATTTATTTGTTTTATCGCTTTTTTTTGCCATTCCGGTCACCTACTTACCCATATCCCTCCTAGTCATACCCTTACTTACTCAGTCATGCAAACGTTCTTTAACTACTTACTTTCCTCTGAAGTTCTAGTGTTTTTCTTTCCTGAAAATTACTTGTTTTGCTTGAAAAAACTCACCTTCCCCACTGAATCGGTAGATGCAAATCTGAGACTGGTCTCCATGAAGAGGTTAAGAGGAAGGAGCCTGAAGCTTGTAGAGATAGAAAGCAGAAAGTTATAAAGAGGTAAAGTACCTGGCCAGGTTTAATCTCACGGAAACATCTAGTAGGGACGTTGATGTGAACGCTTGTTCTCAACGATGGCGGTCATCGATTCTGTGAAAAATGCAAATAAGGAGAATTCGTGGTCGCTCGGCTGTATTGCCGCTCCGTCAAAACAGTTATGCTAATGGTTGTACTCGTTCCTATGGCATCAGTTCGTCAGAATCTGTTATAGGGCGTGGCTTAGTAGCCGCTGTTCATATCCCTGCTCGTTTTTGGGAACGCATTTTTTTCATTTTTTCATTTTCCTTTTTCTTATTTTTCTTATTTTTCTATGCGCTTCTTGTTTCTTGAACATTTGATGGTTCACTTGAATCAAGCAGGGATAACATCGTAAATAAAGGCCAGATCAATTAGAAGACAATAAATTAGATTTTCCTATTTTGTTTACCCTCACCTCAACTGGGAAAGACAGTCTTTTGGCGTCGATCAATTCTGTCTGGGATGCGCCTCCGCATACGACTTCCATTCAGAATCGTAGTGGCGTTGTGAATGCGTATGTGACTCATACAGTGACTTGCGATGGTCAGCCACGTACACGTCAGCACTTCTGCCCTCCCATGCGAGTCTGGTACCAATTAACCGACCCCGGGAATATGGAGGGCATGATTGCCCTTGGCGTGTATCGATCCGCGATTCGAAGTCCGACTATGCGTTTGATGTGTTCCGCTAGCCTCTACACCACGTCCACCCTCACCTTACTTGTTGAAAATGTTTCATTATGTATTTGGTTGCTAATAAAGAATCTATAAAGTAAACGGCCAATTGAAAATATGAAATCGAAACATCAAAAAATCATGGCATTCCTATTGCTTCGTGGAGCCTTTTCCGTGGTATCTTCTCATTTTTTATGATCCTACATGACAGCAGATTCCACTAACTTATAAGGGCACCGGATTTGTAAAAAAGATCGTCCAGGCAACTTGCTTCCTTTTTAGTTACTAGCATCGCACAGCGTTGCAACTTCGAAAGCTACATTTAATTATTTCCAACGATTCCTGAAGTTTTTTTTTCAGCATGGGGAAAATATAACCTCAGGATTTTATAGCGTAGAAGTAGAATGTTAAAATAAATGGCTGAGTGTTCCACTTCAAATACATGCTCTAACGATTTTTCCCTTTTTCTTCCGGAAGGAACAATATTTTTCCTTCGGCTCTTCTGAAACAAAAATTTTGCCTTTCCCTCCATAACCTCCGTAAGTTATATCCTTTTATCACAAAGTATCACTCCCTATTACTTATTCTATTTCTGAATATTGAGCTTGTAATCGTAAGTAATTTCGTTCGTTGTTATTCAAAATAGGAAATCATATCCTCTCCGCGGCGATGACATCATCATTTTTTCATTTCATCATCACCCTCGTATTCATTCATATGAGTCATGCTCTCCGTTCGCCATCCGTGACGTCACTACGACACGTCGCTCATGCTTTTCAACCTTACCATTAGCCCTGTTTACATCCTTCCCCACGGTGCCCGCAGAGTCGCATTAGGTCCGAGTGACTGGTTAAGGAATCGATCTTTTGTGTTAGGCGTTCATGTTTGTTGTGCAGCAACGCCTCCAACCGCTAAACCAAAGTGAAATTCTTCGAATGCTTCCAATTTGCTCTTCAAATCCTGGTAACTTCGGCACGTTTTGAATTTATGACTTGGATTTCACCCCAGAACTGCGTAGGCTTGAATTTCGTCGTAGCAGCTTTGACTTGCTTATGGTTCCCCTCTAATCTGTTACCAACCTTTATTATTTCTGTTGTTTGGCGATGTTTACTTCGATAATATGGATCGTAAATACGTCACAAACATTTAACATTTTCAGACGAGCTTGTTGAGCATAAATTCGCCAAGTGCTCACCCCGTTGCCTAGCAAAGGTTTAGTGAAACGCATAACAAAAGAGGTAGAAATCGAAACACCGACATGTCGGCACCACCTTACGAAGGAGCTCCGCCGTACCAGGTTGGTTCCAGCACCGAAAAATTAGTTTTCTGCAAATTTCTCCCCTTTATTTGAATCACCTGCACAGATGACTTATGAAACTACGTTTTTTATTTTTTCCATAGAAACTGGCCCCGCCTTAAATATCGAACAATTGTTCAGACCATCTATCTCTTCACACCATGAAGGTTTGTTCGCCCTCTGTTACTTTGTATGGAGAGTTTCACGAATAAACGAGTTCTGAGGTGCGCCATGCACCTGATTTATATTCGAGATCGTCGCATCAACTCAACTGGTTGTCACACTGAGAAAAGGCTAATCGGTGTCACGATTTTGTGTTATTATTCCTTTAGACAGCTCTGGTACCGATTATTCTTTTCAGACAAGATGAAAGGCTCATTCAATAGGCGCGGCTCCCAAATTTTATGTCTATATCATCTACATTAAAGCTTGTCACCTCTTCCACCTGCCTTTGCATAAATAGTATTGGATACATTTTTTAATTATGCCCTTAATCTTCTTTTTTGCTGTTTTCTATCATTCTGCGATTTCGCCCGACCCTTGCCGTTGATTAGTTCGATTGTAAAAAATTAGAAACTCCTGGACTCACATTAAACCCACCTTTACCCCAGTCCTCTCATTCTTTGACTCTTTTTCTAGCCCTCTGCTTCCATCGATAAGAATAAAGTGGGAATGGAAGGGAAACGGTGCCAACACTGCCGAAAACTTTTCCAGGTTCCCACGTCACCAATTGTTTTTCTTTTCATATTTCCTCGAAGGCTGCAGTTGCTCATGGGAAACTTTAGGCTATTTCATTCGTGAGGTCGCAGATTTGTGGCTTCACTACAAAAGAAATAAATGTGTGTATACTTTATTTACCATAATTTCAGCCATATCCGCCTCCACCACAGTACGGTCAACCCATGTACAACCAGCAACCAGGTTATGCATATCCACCGGGCCAAGTGAACTATGGTGCTCAGCCGTACCCTACTCAGCCATATCCTCAACAGGGTTATTCTCAACCCTATCCACAACAGTATCCGCAACAGCAGCCACAAGTCGTGTAAGTCTTTTTATTTTAATGTTTTTTTTTCTCCAACCTTTCCAATGACGTAGCCAAAATTCTTTAATGAGAGAGTATAAGAGTATACAGTAATTTCACAGCTTTCACCCGGATAAATTCTCATTTCTAGGGCTTTGCTTCCTGTAGAGTCGTTAACGGGACACCCATTTTAGATGAACAGCTGCCTGGCCAAGCTACTGCTTTGCTTTATTATCAGGAATTCCAGTGATAGGACTTGAAATTTGCCGACAAATTCCTATGTTTCTAGTCAAAATCTTCCAAGATCCATAAGTAAGTGTATGGGTGAAGGCTGGAGATGTCTGTTAGTTCCCCAGCCTCTCAGAAATTTGGTTCATTTTATTCCGGAAATTTGATTCCGTTCCCTAGCACTTTACCTCCCTTTACCATTGGTTCTCCATTATTTCATCAAAAATAAGTACAAATCCAATAAATGACAAAAACCTATTACTTTGTGTGGGTAAGTACATTTCGCTTATGTTAGTACATTACAGTATGGTAGGCGATCGTCGGAACTCTGGTGACGGTGGAAAATGCTGTCTTATTGCATTACTCGCATGCTGTGCCGGTTGCTGTTTAGCCGATTGCTGTGATTAGATGCCCGACTGTGAAGCTCCGCCCACAAAGGGTGGGACAGTCGTCAAAGAACTCAGCTACATACTTACTGCTAGAAAAATAACGCTCTGTTCTATGAACTTCCGTCAAGTTTACATTCCATGAACAAATTTGTTTCTTTTTAAATTCACCAATGTTACTACTATGTTTTGCTCACATGAATTCCTCGTTGATTACAAACTCGGTGGATTTTTCCTTTCTTTTTTGTACCCTCTTGTCGTTTTTCCAAAACATTCTTTGTCTTTTCACACAGGTTTAGAAGAAATTGCTATCAAAAATCATTATACATGTACTTTGTTCTAATTTTTTTCCTTCCTGATTTGACTGTTCCTCCTGTATAGGTTCACCTCGGCCTACTGGGGAGGGACTCACGTCGGCAAAACCGCTACACCTCCATCATCGCTCTGCGGTGGAGCATATGGTCATGCCAGTAATATTTCTGGGTTTTAAAGTTATTTTTGTCTGCATGGATTGTATGCATTTTCCATTGTTATCCTGTTTTTCATACAAACTATGCCTTACAAAGGAATTTTAAGAACGACTAGGGAAACAATGAATACGTTGTCAGTCATTTTTCACATGGTTTGGAAAAAAATGTGTTGAGATTACTTATCAGATGTAAAAATGATATGTGAAGTGAAGCACTCTGAAGCTAGTCTCGTCTATTGGATGCACCCCGCATACGACATCCATTCAGTATTGGATGCTTATGTTCTCTAAACAATGGCATGCAGTAGCCAACCATGTATATGTTAGTGTTGGCATCCTCCCAGACGAGTCTGATACCAGTTAACTAACCCGAAGGGAAGAAATGCTTGGTTGGCCCAAGCGGATATCGATCCGCGATTCGAACTCGTGACCATGCGTGTGTGACAGTGCGCCACCCACATACCACTGCACAACCTCCACCCAGAATTTTCAAATGTAGAGCTTCAGTATAGCGTAGCGTAGTTGAATGACAGCCACACCAGGAAAGCCGACACAGTTCGAGGTAAAATGCTGTCTGCAGTAGGATTTTGGATGGCATTCTAGTCAGTTGCCTCGCCATGCAGTGCAACACTGTTCAAGGCTTCCACAAGTTCTAGGTCCACTTTCAGTCCAACTTCTTCATCTTTAACCTCTTCATGGTGCAATTGGATTGACATGGCGCTGATCGCTGATCGTTAGCATTACCTCGTTAAAGGCTATTAAAGGCAGCTGCGAAAAGAGCAAAGACCACCTTCGACAGATTCAATCTTCCAGCGAAAAAACACTTGTCGGCAGATGAAGTTTTCGAACTGAAATGGAAAGGGACAGCAATGAGAGGATAAAGAGCAGCTGATTTGAGAGATCCTGCAATATAAGGAGGAGCTTTGACAATCACCCATCAATAAATAACAACTCTGCGGGTTGGGTTATTCAGTTCTTAAAAGTACTAGCTGTGGTGCGGTGGAGGTAAGAAGGAACGTGTTGGTTGGTTAAGATCCTTTCTATTTGTAATGTCTTTCAAAAAGTGATTAAGGGAGCTCAGATCAGTAATTACTTGGTCACATGGTGGATTCAAGTGGGACACCAGAAGAAGGAAACGCGAGCAGGTGAGACGATTGAAATAACCTCTACTAGTCAGGGAAACCTGCCTTTGAAGTATATTAGAAGTAGAAATCTGAGTACGTTAGTGATACTGGGATAGTTCCAGCCCTGTTCATACTCGACGTAATGAGCGCAGCTGTTCAATCGATATCCCTTGCAAGTGCGCTCGCTCAGTACCACTTGATCCTTTGCATAGTGCAGTAGTGGGAGTTTGACGAGTCTGCTTTGGATAATAGCTTTCCAAGTATACCGGTCGAAACACCGTATCCCTACTACCAACATAAGTCTTGCCGATGTATATTCACGCATGGGTGTATGTCACGGCGATGTATCCCGCCTCTCGATTCCGAACCCAAGTTTAGCATCTTTCCACAATTCGCTGGATATTCCAACTCCTAAGCCATAAGTAAAAGTAAACGATAAAGCCGCTTGACGGTGATGAATGTGTTTTTGGGATGTGCCCCGCATTCAAGTTCCTTTCAGAATCGTAGTACGTAGTTGAAGCGTATTTGACCTATACAGCGACCTGCACTGACCAGCCGTAGTACAATTGAGTTCTTTCAGTCCTCAGACTCGTCTAGAGAGCCAGTTGGTCGATCCCGGAAGAATGGAAGGCTTGGTTGTCCTGAATGAGCATCGTCTCGGTATCCGATCCGCTGAGAGCGTGTGTGATAGTGCGCCACGTGCCACTACGCTATATGCGCCACAAGTGCGATGCACCCTAGAATAAATAAACCAGTTTTTTCAGCGGTAGGATGATTTCATTTCCATTACAGCAAATCAGCTCCACAACAAACGGAAACAGCCTCACCTCGCCTCCCATCCGGGCGGCGTTATTCTTCCTCATACGAATGTAACGATCCCTACCAACGATATCCTCATCAAACCGTCGTAATCAAACAGTAGGTCTCTAGTATGGTCCCATGCCCATGAGGGTAGTTGTGAATTTCATTCCAGAGATAATTCGATATGTGACTGCTGCCTCGGTTGTCTTCTGGGATGCTGTTGTTGTTTGCTTTGTTGTCGTGAATGTTGTTGCGATTGTTGCTGTTGATACTATCACTCATTATCATACTGTAATTCTTAAATGTCAACGCAATGTAAGAAAAGAATAAATTCATAGGGAGCTTCCTGAAAGGTCACGAAATTCATCAAATTAAAGTACATCACTCTTCACACAAATAACTGCGAAAACGCAAGCTCACTGCAGTGAGGTGTCGGAATTCCAATCCCTGAGAGGAACCATATGAATTCACTTCTTTCCATAAAGCTACAGTTCGCGGCGAGAGAAAGTTCTCTGAGATTTTTCTCGAAGACGAGCCTGTTTCAAGGATAGTACGGGGGAAATTGTTGCGTAGAAAAACGACCTCGACATTGCATTATAGGGGCTCCAAAACCAGCTTGACGGACCCAAAGGTGTCCGTGTTATGCCGACCTTGTTGAAGCTACACCTTTCATAATGGATCGCGAGGACGCCGACGAATAGCACGCTTTTATTGGAGACACCCAACGGCCTCAGACACATAATCTCGTACAACCCTATACTACGTTTTTGTAGCCTTACAGTTCTTAATACCCTCGTTTTTACGCTTTCTTCGCCATTTTGCACTATTCTGCTCCATAACTTCTGCTAATTCACTTCCGTCAAAGCAGATATCTCGAAAACATCGTGAATAGTGCCTTTAAAGAAATGTTTTGCCATTGCAAGTGAAAGAAACTGGTAATTTTCACTATTACTAGTCAGAGCCCCGTTCAGGCACGGTAGATGCTGTGATATGAAGAATTTAAGAATGAGCCACCATGAAAGCCAAGCGACTCAACGGATCGAGACCTTGAAAAGCACTTTCGGTTCGGAGCAAACTATGCGTGACTTCGCCAGGGTGATGGGGGGAGGAACTCAGCGAATTCTGCCGATAAGGAGCTAATGTCGTGCCCCGGGAGAACTTCATCTTATGACATTTCCATACTGATTCCTCGGCTTGATTTTCTCAACTAGAATGAATAGAAGAGGCGGGAAAGTAATCCTTGCAAGCTTAACTTTGCTCGAACCGCTTTCTATGGAGCACTGCTCGCTTTCTTGGAACTTGTTCTTGAATCCCTTCAACATCACGCCAGTATTACAACAAGCCTGACTCTGCACTGCCCCTCCAGCCATAACAGGAAATCGCAACATGTGAGAATGATGCCTGTGCTAGAGGTTTTCCGTTGCTGAAAGTGTAGGGTGAAGAGTTCACATACTGTTTTCGGGTTCCTTCACGTGGGGCTTCTTCCTAGAGTCCGATATCAGTAACTCTCACTCGTCCCATAGCTTGATTAGCAGATATGATCCAATAGCTCGAATTGTAGATATGGAATGTGTGTTCTTACACCTATTGGTCGATAGAGTACCCTAGCACCCAACAGAGCACTAAATTTGCCATAATTGTCAAATTAGTTTCAGTTGAAATGTTTTCTCCTACGGGAGCTCAGTTCAGACCATTCCATGAAAATGGCAATTCGAGAACCTTCTCAGGCTTTTTTCAGCGGTTGCCGCCTCCTCCAACAATTAACAAGAGATTATCTGACGCCTTTTAATAAATATAAAATAAGCAATTTCATCAAAAAAAAATCGAGAAATTCACACTAAAATAGCGCAAATACATATATCACAGATAAAAGTGATGAGACACAATGCACATTATGTCTATAAGCTAACAGTTTCGATTACATCCTTTGCAACCCTTACAGTTTAATCAGCGATTACGCGATATATAATATCAAAACAACAAAGAAAAAGAAAGTTGAAAACCGGTTAGAGAAGGGCATAAAGTTGGCCATAAGTACTCAAGGAATGGTAAAACAACGATTAACCATAAATGCGGTTACCAAATAGAAAATCTCGAAGCAATTCCATTAGGAGCGGGAAGATTATAGTAACTCTTTAA